TAAAAAAATAAAAAAATCCAGAGGGGAATCAATCTTTTATTTTTAACTGAAAATGCATTTAACACATAATAAGCTCATAAAAAGAACCAGAAAAACAATAATATATGAAACAAATAGAAAAAATGGCAAATGTAAACCCAGATAGATCAATAGTCACATTAAAAGAGACAAAACTAAAAACTCTATTCAAAAGGCAGAGATTATCAGACTGGATTAGAAAGAAGGATACAGGCGGTGGGGATTTAGCTCAGCGGCACAGCACCTGCCTGGCAAGTGCAAGGTCATGAGTTTGATTCCTGGTAAAGGAAAAAAAAAATCAAAAAAAAAAATTTAAAAAATAAAATAAAATAAAAAGAAGGATACAGCCAAATGTTGTCAACAAGATATATACATCATAGATTCAAAGACATGAACAGATCAAAAGCAAAAAAATGAGAAAAGATATCCCAAGCAAAAAATAGCCATGAGAGGGCTGGGGATATAGCTCAGTGGCACAAGCACTTGCCTGGAAAGCACAAGGTCCTGAGTTCAATTCCTGGCACCCAAAAAAAAGAAAATAACATAAGACAGATGGCTACATTGCTATCATATAAAATAGACCTTTTTTTTTTGTAGGTACTGGGAATTGAACTCAGGACCTCGAGCTTGCCATGCAGGTGCTACACCACTGAGCTAAATCCCTGGCCCCTAGAATTGACTTTAAGACAAGAAATATTACTAGCAACAGAGGACACTTTACAGTGAGAAAATGGTTAATACATTAGTAAGTAACAATTATAAATATATGTGCACCTAATAACAGAGTTCCAAAATACATAAAGCAAAATCTGATGGAATTGAAAGGAGAACTACATAATTCAACAATAACAGTTTGTGTGTGTGCATGTGTATATGTGCACGTGTGTGCACACATGTGTTTGCGTGTGTGCACGTGCGTGCATGTGTGTGTATGTGTGTGTATGTGTGTGTGTGTGTGTTGGGATTTGAACTCAGGACCTTGTACTTCCCAGGCAGGAAAAATAACAGTTACTAATTCCAATATCTTACTAATAAATGCAGAAAACACATTTGGCAAAATTCATTGTAATTCATGACTTTAAAAACAGTTATACTGAGTCAACTAGCTATCCATATGTAAAAATAAATAAACTTGGGCTTTTACCTTATGTATAACAAAAATTAATACCAAATGGATCACAGTCAAAAGAAAAAGGTGTAAAATCATACATCAACACAAAATTTGTATACAAATTTCACAACAACATTAGCAACGTTATTCATAGTAGCCCCAAAATAGAAACAACCTAAATATCCAACAACTAATGAATAAACAAAATGCTGTGAATTTGTGTGATGGAATATTATTTGATTATAAAAAAGGAACAAAGTCCTCATACATTCATCCAGGGATGAATTCTGAAAACATCACACTGAGTAAATAAAAGCCAGACACATAAAGAGCCACATTTTGTATGATTTCACTCATATGATTTCATCTAATACAGGCAAATCACAGAGAGATAGAAAGTTATTAGTGATCTCAAGAGGAAAAGAGAAATAAAGAGAACTACAAATACATCTGAGGTCTCTTTTTGGCAATGAAATGTTCTGGAGTTGATAAATGTGATACTTGCATGACTCTGTGAACACAATACAAATGACACAATTTTACATTTTTAAAGTGCAGACTTTATAGTCTACTACAAAGCATATCTCAATGAAGTTATTTTTTAATGGACCATGTAAAAGCTGGTTGCCAGCAGCTGGGGCTGGCTGGCACTAAGTGTCAGTGGAAAGGGGGCCCAGGTGGATTTGGGGGGGTGTTGGGAATGTTCTAAGACTGCTCTGTGGCTGCAGATACATTTTATAAATTCATGAACAATCATTGGATTACTTATTTACAATGAGTGGTTTTACGGTGGTAGCTTTCCCTTCTATAAAGCTGTTTTTAAAATAAGCCCACCAGAGGCCCCAGAGCTCAGACCCAT